TCACAGTAATTTGAGTGGCCTTTATTTGCCTCTGTAGGTCTTTGAGTTTTGTCCACTAGCGACCATAAGGCAGAAGTGGACAGAGGCATATGGTCTCACTGAGACAGAAGTGATCATTGTGTAGAGTCTCAGGGTACACTGAAGGGGTCCCTTCATTTCCAGGGATATCCATGGGCTGCCATGACCACAGCCCTGGTGCAGCTGTGGCCAGAGGCATATGATCTCAAGCCTCCCCTGCAGACGCTGCATCCTGGAAGATAGTCGAATCCTGTCTCTGTCAGTACAGACCCAGGTGGGCAGTGACAACTGTGACCAAAGAACACCCAGCAGGTCTGCTGGGGTTTCCAAGAAGACAGATTCACTGACAGTGATGTAAAGACAGATGTGGTGGAGGGTGGGGTGCCTGCGGCAGAGACTCGAAGGACCAGGTTCTTGCTGCCCGACCAGACTTGGTGACCAGGTTCTCCTGGCTAGTTTGAAGGGGGCAAGGCGGAAGCTTCCAGATAGATGGGTGGAGCATTTACAGGAAAGAAGGTGACAGAGGAGGGGGTGGGGAAGGCGAGGCAAGGTTTTTGACAGCACTGTGTAGGGTCTGGGGCTAGAACTTGGGGAGCACACCAATGACAGATCAAGGGTGAATGTGATAAGAACCAATGCCACTACCTGGGCTCAGTGTCCCTTGGCCCTGGGATGCTGGCAGGGGCTGCCCACATGGTCCCACTTCACTCCTTGAGGCTGCTACTCTCACTTTCTCTCCTAGCCAGTGGTAGATTTTACCAGAACAAAGTTGGGATACTCCCCAGAGAATCTGAATACAGAGAAGCTTTCAAAGCACACTACTGACATCTGAGTCTTAAAAGCAGCAATAACAATTCTTATTTTTCTTTAAAATGTGAATATAATGCACTAACCATGACTTGACAGAGAACAGGTTTTGTTCCCTTTTTAGTGCACTCCTGTGCACAAGTGGCAAGAGCCGGCTTTTCAAAGGCACATTCTTGGTATCTCCTGGGGATGGCATTCAGCCAGGATCCTGAGAAAACAGAGGCAGGCAAAAGTGTAGAGAACACTAGGCCCCAGGGAGTCACTGCCCAGACAGGTATGGGCAGGACCCACAGACATCCAAGGCAAGGGACTTCAGAACTCAGAGGGGTACCCAGTCTGGGGAGGCCCCCAGGAACTCTGGCTGGAGCTGGACCTTAAGGATAGGGAGGGACACAGCTGGTGGCTGTGGCATGTGCAGGTTGTGGTCTGGGATTGCTCATCTCTCCTCATGGGCAAGGGGGGGTATCAGCACTATGGATTGAAGAACGCGCATCCTGTCCTGGGGCTGTAGTCTGGTCCAGTCAAGCATCGGGTCACTGGGGGCTGCCAGTCCCCCAGGCCAAGGGGACTACACAGAGAAACAGCATTGTCACTAGGTGGTAACAGATAAACTGGGCCAAACTAAGCAGGTGAGGAGAGTGTAACTGGCAGCTGTGGAACCGCCCAAGGAGTTTCGGGGCTTCACCACCAGTGGGGACTGGACCCTGTAAGTGGGAAATGGCTGAAGTTTGGTAGTCTCCTGCTGCCCTGATCTGAGCAGTGTTTCAGAAGACTTATTTGGTGAGAAGATTTATGATGAACTGTACAGGGAAAAAAAATCATTTGGTAAGGAAGGTGGAAGGGTAAGAGAAGCAGCAATCCCTGGGCCCTACAGGAGAGCAGGAAACAAAGGCCCCTACAGGACAGCAGGAAACAGGTCCTCCCCAGCAATCCCTTGGGTGCTGATGCAAAAGGACCCTTCACAATGCTCCTGTTCTGGAGATGTCTACTTTCAGACAATGATCTGTCTAGACAAATGTTTCCAGAATGACTTCAGTGAATGCCAAATACATACCAGGCAAAATTTACCAGGTGAGACAGGCACATTCCCTGCTCCCCAGACTCCAACAATGCAGTGTCAAGGCCCCTTGACAGGGGAAAGGAGAGTCTCAGCAACAGTGCTGGGACAGGCAGACACCCCTGCAGAAAAGTGAAGGTAACCCCACCTTAGGCCACACACAAAAGAGTGAAGACTGGGTCAAGGATGCAACACAACAGCTAAAATCATAAAACTTAGAAGAGGGTACATTTTCATGACCTTAGGGCTGGTATTGGATTAGACTACGACACCAAAAACAAGAGAAGCAGCAGATGTACTGAACTCAACAGAGATGAGCCTCCACCACAGACCACCACCACCAACACATGAATAGAGCCATGCACCAGGAGTGCACACGTGCTACCATCTGTGACAAGGACTCAAATCCAAAGCATTGAAATCACATGTGCAGCCAGGCCTGGTGGTGCACACTTGTAGTCCCAGCAACTCAGGAGGCTGAGGAGGACTGCACATTCAAGACCAGCCTCAGCAAATTAGTGAGGCCCTGAAATAAAAAAAAAATCAAAAGAGCTAGGGATGTGGCTCAGTAGTAGAGCTCTCCTGGGTTTGAGCTCCAGTACCAAAATAAACAAACAACACAACAAAGAAGAACTTTTACAATACAATAATAAAGAGATGCTTGGGGATGGGGTGTGGCTCTGTGGTGGAAGGCATGCTTAGTGTGTGTGAGGCTCTCAGTTCCATCCCCAGCACAAACACACAAAAAAGAAAAAATAGCCAAAACCCCATCAGCCACTGCTGACCTGCCTGGCACTCTGCAGCATAATGAGGGATGTGGGGCACTACACAGGAAGACCAGCTCACTGTGCCAGACCCCCCCTGTGCTATAGGGAACTGCCTCCATCAGGTAGTGAAGCCTGTACATGACAGAGGTCAACAGAGTCAAACAGGAGCTTAAGCAGCCCCAGCTCCTCAAAGACACCCAGGAAGTGGCCAGAGGATGTGGAGGTCTCAGGTCAAGGAAAGGCAGTCTTTAATAATGATGCTGGGATAGCTGCAGCAGTTTGGAAAACAAAGAGCCAGGTCCACGCCTCACTCAAGGTTAAACCCAAATGGATCTAAGACATAAGGGCAAAAATGGAACTCTGGGGTCTCGGCAGCTCAGTGTGGAGTACATGCCTCCTTGGACCACAGGGCCCTGGGTTCAACCCCAGGACCCCCCTGACAGAACTGCCAGCACCACCACCAAACACACCATAACCCAATGTCGGGATGGAGGGGACTAAAACTCCAGACACGCTGGAAGATGAGTTTGGCACGTTCAACTGCATAAGAACTACACAAGAAAAAAATGCCGTGAGTAAAGCAGAAAAGATTCTGGCTTTTTGGACAAATTAGTGGAAACATATGTAATATGAATTATAAAGGGCTCATATCCTTGGTATACAGAACAGAGCACAGACATATAAAAACTCCACAGGAAAAGGAGAAAAAGAGTATGTCACAGGGTGAAGCGTGATACACAGTACATCTCTGCCGGCCTCGACAGTCATGAGAGCTGCCCGTGGGAGGCAAGGTGGACTGGCAGGTGCAGTGCACAAGCCCTATGTGGGCCATGGCAGCACCATACTTCACAGGTGTTCCTCGTCAGAAGTTCACCAGAAGATCCATCTCCAAAAGGAGCAATGCTACACAGGAACAGGCTGCTTCTGCAGCAGCGCATGTGACTGCACAGGCCCAGCTGAACAAATTCTGGGAAACACACAACACTGGCCTGGGAAGCTGCAATAATGGAGGACAGTTGTGATGGTGAGAGGCGATGACTTATAGGAAGTTGCTAAGGACTGTGTGGGGAACACAGAGACAATTTTTTTTTTTTTTTTTTTTTGGTACTTGGGATTGGATTGAAGCCAGAAGTGCTTATCCACTGATATCCACACCCCTTTTTATTTTTTTTATTTTGAGACAGAGTCTTGCTAAGTCACTGAAACTGGCCTTGAACTTGTGATCCTCCTACCTCAGCCTTTCTTACACAAATGCTGAGACTTCATTTGTATAGGAATGAGGGGAAAGTTGGAAACCACACCAACAGTAGCTCTTCTTTTTTTTTTTTTTAAATAAATATTTATCATTTTGTAGGTATAGTTGGACACAATGACTTTATTTTATTTACTTACTTTTATATGGTGCTGAGGATTGAACCAGGGTCTCGCACGTGCTAGGTGAGTGCTCAAGCACTGAGCTAAAACCCCAGCCTCACCAACAGTTCTTACAAACAGAGGTAAATGAGGTCCTGCTGAGTATACCTTATAGATTATTGAATGTTCTATTTAAGAATGGATGACAATCATGTTTAAAAGGGTTTGGGTCACAAAAGACAGGGAGAGGCTGTAGAAATCATGCAGGTTAGAAAAGTCTAAAGACATAGAAGCCAGAAGAAAATCCATCAAGGAACCCTGCACTGCACAGGGTCAGGGAGTGCTGCCAAGGACAGCAGAGAATCGGCTGGCACAGGGGCTGTGCCAGGAAAAGCAGGGGAAATCAGAGCGTGTGTCAACACCACATCTGCTCATCGTGGCAAGTGTCCTGGCTCAAGGACAGGTTATCTAGGGGACACACACTCAAGGGCCAGGGGCCTAAGAAATGGACCTGCTCCAGAATGACTCAGAAAAAGGGATTGAGCAATTAATACTAAGAGCAGGTGATGTGGGGCCAAGGCACATGAGTGTTCCCCAGATTGTTCTTATTCTTGTAACTTTTCGGTAAGCGTGCGATATTTCCTAATAAAAAGCTGAAAATTAGGAAAATGAAAATAATGAACTAAGGCTATTGCGTCTGTGTGGACCAATGCCTACAGAAAGGCCTGGGGAACCATGCTCAGCACAGGGGCTCCCATGTGGAGCATGTGGCCTCTGTAGTGGGCAAGGCAGCAGTGAGAGGCTGTGGTGGATAAAGCAGGACTCCCACAGGCAGGCACAGATCAGCCCTGGCAAAGCCTTGTGAGGAGCTGTGCAGGTGCCCAGGATCCGGAGGATGAGCATGACCCTCCTGGAGTCCTGCACCCACCTCCCCAAGAACCCTTCCTTCCCACTCACCTGAGGCCAGGAATGCTCAGGTGTACACAGTGCTTCCTTACCTAGTGCTGGATCCTGGGATCCTGGACTCCTGCCCGTCAACATGATGGCTTCTACATTCATAGTCCTGGGTCTGGGACATGGCGCTCGGGTCTTGAGCACCGAGGTGGACAGATGTCACAGGGTCATCAGGATGCCTTCTCCAGCATCATATAGGAAGGGGCCGCTCTACAAGAGAGAAAAGTGTCTAAGCACCGATGTGGAAAAAGTGTTCCACCATGACAATCCAGCCCCTCAAGGCCAAGTGGGCTCCCAGGGCCTAGAGCTCCCTGACCAGCCAAACCCCTAGAAGCCTCCTTGTGCCCAGCCCCTCCTTGGCAATGGGGAGACCTCCTGCCAGCTGCCCACTGGAGGGGCTGCAGGACTCGAGGTCACAGGACCATGAAGTCTACTAGGCTCCCATTGGCACCTGACATCCAAGCCTTCTCGTCCTCAGCTGTGAACACAGACACTGCCACTCAGGTGGACAGCACAGCAGACACGTGCAGTGCACAGCATGGCTCTGCACAGGCAGCACACCATGTGCACATGGATCACACGGATCTGGTTTGTGATGGAGGATGGCTCTCGCACAAGGCTGCACTGGCTAGATACACACATGAAAAAAATGGGCCTGGACCCCATACTCAGCCTAGGTACAAAGTCCAACTATAGAAACACTGTAAATCTGAATGCTAGAAGTGAAACGACGGGATTTGGGGACATGAGGAAGATTAGTGATTGAACCCAAGGACACTGAGTCACTTCCTCAGTCTGGGTCTTGCTAAATGTCCCGGAATGGCCTAGAGCTAGGATCCTCCTGTCTCAGCCTCCTGGGCAGCTGGATCATGGGCTTCGACACCACATGTAGGCTAACAATACAGCTTTTGGAGGACAAAGAAAACCTTCCAGTCCTGACTCACACAGGAATCCCATGGACTGCCTGCAATCAAGTAGAACAGCTGTTACAAAAAACCCCAAGTCCGTGATAAGTGTACCAAAGACCAAATCCAGAACACACAAAAGTTCCTACCAATAAGCAAGACAAAAGGCAGAGGGGCCTATAGGAAATGTGCGCAACTCTGCCCTCAGGAAAATGCTAATTGAAAGCACAAGAGCCACCATCTCCTGAGCTGAAAACACCTGCCCACCTATCCCCTGGCTCTGCCTCCTCTGTGGAGGCTGCAGAGGTATGTGCAGGGCTCTTGGCACTGGGCTAGCATCTGTTACCAGCAGCACTCTGCCTGACAGCCAAGGTGCCCAGACAAGCAGGGCCCTCAGAGAATACAGCCTGATGTTCCCCGGCCCCCCATTGGTTGCCATGAGCCTCCCAGGCCTGAGGCCAGGGAAGAGAGTCACACACAACTGAACCTGATTCTCTTTTACAAAGTTCAGAACCCAGCTAGAAATCAGGCAGTGACAGGGACTTTGGCATTGCCAGCTCAAGCCAGGGCTGCTATGTGGGGCACAGAGCTATTTGCCCCTCATGTTTTCCCACAGGCGTGCCCCACAGGAACAAGCCCGTGGCAGTGTAGAGCAGGGACATCACTGTGGGGTTTATCACCTTGCTCCCTGCACACCTGGGGCTGGTGAGGGCTGGGAGAGGGCAGAGCCAGCATATAGAACCTTTATGCCCCCGGTATCCTGTGGCATAGAGACCCAGGCTAGGCCCACTAGGCCCACTCAGGCATGGATGGTGGAGTCCCTCTCCAGCCTTCTTACACCACCAGAATAACCACACACCATTCATTCAAATTCAGAGGACTAGGAATGCTATTTTTATTTACTTTTTGTTTGTTTGCTTTTAGGAATGCTATTTTTAAACATATAATTCAAATTCTCCTAATTTCTTGAGAAAATAGGAGAACTTGTGTGGTTTCCACGTTTTAAAAGAGTAAAATGGCAGTGTTAGTGAAAATTGGAAACACTGCCAATTATTTGCCAGAGCCCAAAGCACTTCAGACCCACCCCTTCCACCTGCACCTTTCTTCCTTCAAGCCCCACCCGCAGCACTGGCAGTGGGGGCCCAGATCACCTCTGCCTGTCCTTCTACTCCTTCTACACGGATCCCGGCATCCTTTCCAGACAGCACTCTACAGTTGGGGCACCGGGCACTGGTGACCCCAAAATGCTCCAGGCAATGTCAGTCCTCAAAATGTGCCCTTAGAGTATGGCAATATGTAAATCAATGGAAGTGTAACCAATGTGATTCTGCATTTATACAGGGTAAAAATGGGAGTTCATAACCCACTTGAATCAAAGTGTGAAATATGATATATCAAGAACTATGTAATGTTTTGAACAACCGACAATAAAAAAAAAATGTGCCCTTAGCTCTTGAGGGTGTTTGTCTTTGTATTCCCACCCAAATTTCAGGAATAGCTTCTCAGTCTGCATCAGAGCCTGCTGGGTTCAGCTGGGTGGACAGAAATTCAAGCAGTCTTCTGAGGCCATGCAGGGCCTCTTTCCCCAGCTAGCAAGGTCTGCTTCCTTCCAGCAATGTTCTGTAGTTTCTACACATACCTAGTAAATGTACTCCTCAGTCAGACTTTCCTTCCTGACTGCCTGCCTTCCTTTATCCCTTCCTTTCTTTAAGATGGGTTCTTGCTGTGTTGCTCAGGCTGATTTTGAACTGGGCTCAAGTGATCTTCCTGCCTCAGCCTTCTGAGCAGCTGGGACAATGTGCACCACTACCAGTCCTGGCACAACTGTGCTTCTTTTCTTTTGTGGTGCTGGGGATCTAACGCAGTCCTCACACACATTAGACAAGTTCGCTACCACTGAGCTGCATTACCAGCCTTTCTATTTTTATGCCAAAAATTTAAAAACAACTTCCAGTTGTTTGCTGCTAGTACAGAAAGATGCTATTTATTTTTGCACTTTGGTGGTGTATCTATAACTTGCAAAACTCACCAGTCTAGTTGCTGTTCTGTGGTCTCAATCAGTTTTCTGCATAGATGATGGTGTCGACAGAGAACCAAGACAGTTTCACTTCTTCAAGCCCAGATGCTTCTCCTTGGTCCTGTTGTATCACACTAGCAAGAACCTCCAGCATGATGCTAAATGGAACTGGTGAGGGTGGGCACTGGTAGTACTGGAGAAGCATCCAGTCCTCCCCACTGAGAATGTGAGTGCAGCTTCTCGGAAATGCCTTTTGCCAGGTTCAGAGAGCTCCCTTGTGTTCCTGGTTTGTCAAGTTATTTATGAACTCAGGAAAGGCTGGTGGATTTTGGAAAATATTTTTCTCTACTGAAATGATCACATGATTTTCCTTTTCTAATTTGATAAGTTGAATTCCACAGATTAGTTTTCTTTTTTTTTTCCCCAATGGATTAGGTTTCTAACATCAAACCAACTGCACATTCCTTGGACAAAAACAGTCACGATGCAATTATCCTTTTCATATGTTCTTGGATTCAACTGGAAAAAAATTTTGTCAAGAATTTCAACGTCTGGGGCTTGGTAGAGGCTTGCCTAGCACATATGAGGCACAAGGTTCAATCCTCAGCATCACATAAAAAATAAATAAATAAAGGCATTGTGCCTGTCTACAACTAAAAACAACAAGTTTCTGAACCTGGTCTTTTGTTCCTTTTGCAGTGTCTCTGGCAGTGTCAGGACAACACTGGCATGACCAAACGGGTGAAGACATATTCCCTCTTGTGGTTTTCTTGGGGACTTCCTAGAGTTTCTTTCTTTCCCAGGTGTGTGTTAGAGCGTAGTGAAGCCACCTAGGCAAGCAGTGTTCTGTGTGGGAAGGCTTCTGGCCAGGAACCAATGTCTCAACACACACAGGGCTGAGTGATATTCATGTGTCCTCTTAGGGAGCTGCAGAGCACGTCCTTCTCTGCCATGTCACAATCAGCCTTCTGCAGGGATGCTGCATCCTTCCACACATTTTGTTACTTTTCCCTAACTTGTCTGGCTAAAACCTTCTTAGTTTTGTTGGTCTCAAAAAGATAGCTTTTGGCCTCAATATTTTGTCTGTATTTCTGCTTTGATTAATTTCCACTTTGATCTTTATTTCATTTCCCCCTGCTTCTTTTGGATTTAATTTATTCTCCTTTTCTAGTTTCTTAAGGTGAAAGTAGAATTCAATATTTTACACCATTCCAAAAAAAAAAAAAAATCCAGTTTAGGTATTAGGTCTTTAAAATCTTCCTCTGTGCTAGGTAAAGTGGTGCACACCTGTAATCCCAGTGGCTCAGAAGGGTGAGGGAGGAGGATTGCAAGTTCAAAGTCAGCCTCAGCAACTTAACAAGACCCCTGTCTCAAAAGAAAGAGAAAGAGTCTTCCTCTGCTCCAGCTCTGTTCTAATAGTTCTGACGAGCTATATCTTCGTCTTCATCTGATTCAAAAAACTTTTAGTTGCTTGACTTGTGAATTACACAGAAGTATGTCACTTAATAACTGCCAACTTTCCAGACATGTTTATTTTATTTTGGTACCAGGGATTGAAGTAAGGGGCACTCGACCACTGAGCCACACCCCACAACCCTATTTTGTATTTTATTTAGAGACAGGGCCTCACTGAGTTGCTTAACGCCTTGTCACTTCTGAGCTGTTTTTGAACTTGTGGTTCTCTTGTCTTAGCCTCCCCACCTTGCGTACGCCACAGCGCCCAGCTTGGTTTTTAATTTAATTCCATTTTTTGGTCTTTGAAACTTATTTTAAATGATTTGGAGTTAAGTTTATTAAGATATTTTATGGCCCAGGAAAAGCCTATTTTGATGAATATTCACTGATTATTCATATTGATATTCAACATTCATTTTGACAAGAATATTTACCCTCTTTCCCAACCATGTGCCCTGGAAGAGGGTGCTGCTTGTTGTAGAGCACTGCAAAGCCGGTGACGTTGCCCTGGCTGACGGCAGCCGTGAGCATCCTCTGGTTCTTCCACGACTGGCAGGTATTGCCAGTCCCTCTGACAGAACTGTGGGCTTATTTATCCTTGCAGTTCTGCTGGGTTTTGCTTCACGGATTTGTATCTCTGCTAACCCCTTTCTTGTTATGAAATATCTTTATCCTGGTAGTTTTCTTGGTTCTGAAATCAGTATATTAGATGCTGCTATAGTAATTCCAACACACTTTCCATCAGTGCTAGACCCACGCACCTTTTGTCCTTCTCTCACTTTAGCCTATTTAAGTCTTAAAAGTGGGTCAAATATCTGAGTGCTGATTTTCACATCATCTGACAGTCGGCTCTACTCCAGTGATGAGCCAGCTGCATTGGGGACTGGACATACAAGGTCTAAGCCCAACACCTTGCTGTTGGTTTTCTGCCCTTCTTGTCTGCCTTCCTTTGGATTGTCATGTGGTTCACCTTTATCTGCATTGTTGACTTAGCAGGAATTCATTACTATCTTAGTAAACACCTTTGGGTTTGTGGTACTCATATCTATCATGGCCTTCAAGTCAAATAATATCACTTCAAATATAGGAGTCTATTATTTCTCCTCTCCTGGATTTTTTTCCTTCTGGTCTACATTCTATTGCTACATGTTAAGCACCCCTCATTCTGCCACAATGCTATTCATCTTATTACAAGTCAAGCATCCCGCATTCACCTGCGGTCACCACCCCATGTCTTCTACTCCCATGTGCACAACTCACATCCACTTGGTCTCCTCTCGAGTCTGGGTTTTCCTGCTCTGCAGATGGGCCACTCCTGCCTCTGCAGGCGTGCCAGTGCCTCACCCCACCTTTACACGGGAGGCTTGTGCATGGCAATAGGCTTTTCTTTGGGGCTTTAGACACCAGTCTTCTTGTGCCTTATTTCTGACAGAAAGGTGTCACTGCCACATTTTCTCTCTTGGCCATGTGATGTCTTCTCTGCCTGCTCTCAAGCCGACTCTGTGACAGGTTCTAAGCAACTTGGTACAGATGCTCTGTGTTGCTTCTGCACTTCGGTGTTGAGACATCAGATCTGGGTTTAGGGTCTCCATTGAGCTTGGTGCTTTGGGCCTCCTCCTGAGCTTCCGCACACAGCAGGCTCTGGACACCAGGGCAGCCCAGGGATGCTTGTTGTTTCCTCAGTGACTGTTCCGTGTGGACGGTGTCTCCACTCAACTTCAGGCTTGCTCCTCTTCCCTTCTACAATGTCTACTCCTCCACCAACCCCACTAGGGTACTCCATGCTTGGACATTCTGGGTCTGGGTCTAGTTCCATCTGGTGTCTCTGGACACCTTCTTTGTCTATATGTGAGATGTCCAGTCTTTCTTCCAGAGGCCCTTGTCCAAACTATGACATCTATGTCAATTTTGATTAACTTTTCACTACAGCATGGATGTATTTTCCTGAAAATACAATTTTATTGGGTAAAACTTGTCTCCCTGGATGGTTTTCTTTTTGCAGGGGAGATTTATCTGTTCTTCCCATTTTCTTGGTTTTTTGGGGGGTCTTTTATTCATGTCAGCTTGCACTTATGGGTACTCATTTCACACGCTGGGTTGTACTCTAGGGTGACTTGGGGTTCTGCCCCAAGTGCTAGCTTGTTGGTTGGGAGCTCCTGTCACTATTGGGGCCCCTTCACAAACTACTGCCATTGTGGTGTTCTGTGTTTGTTTTGGCTCTTCCAGATTTTCTGCCTCGGCAAGATGTTCCAGGCTCATCTTGTACTTCCTGACCCCATCATTTCAGTCATTTCTCCAAGGACTGCTGGCTCCCTTTATTCAGGGATTAAAGATGTTGGTATTAGAACCAACATCTGATTTCTAGGCATGTTTGTTCCAAGGGCAGTTGCTTCTCAACTCTCAGCTCACACACCAGAGCCAGGCTTGCATGCGTTCACCTGAGTGTATGTACATATCCACAGCTATTTCTACACACATCCACCTGTAGCTACATGCCACATGTGAATTCACAATGGCTCCAACTCTGACCCAGACGAATCCAGTCTCCTCCCCTTGGAGGTTGACCCCACTTTCAAGCCTCCTCCCCTTAGAGGCTGACCCTACACCCAAGGGAATTTTTACCAATTTAAGTTTAATACATAGTTTATTTTGCCAGGAAAATTTTCTCACATTTATAAACATTATTGCTATTTCATATCTTACTGCACTGACAAAAAATGTTCAGAATGATGGTAAAATCAAAACAGTAAGCATTTTTGTTTTGTTCCCAATTTCAGTCAAAATGATTAAAGCCTAGCCTTTTAATTTCTTTTCACTTTATTCACTTTAGACATTTATCTACTCATGCATAGCTTTCAAAATTACAGGCAGTAGACTTACCCTTTGATTTCTCTCTAAACACAATTTGTTTTAAATTTAAGACATTATCAGAGTCTCAAATCATCACACTCTCTTCTATAACCACAGCTTTCAGTTGTTCTGCCTCAAAGCTCAGTGCTTGCTTTCCTTACATGCTGCACCTCTGAGGAGGTTCTCCACAGGTTCTGCAGGCTCCTGCTGAAGCTTTCCTGCCACACCATACCCTCAGGGCAACTTGGCTCCCTGTGAATTCTGGGAATGACAATGTTCTCTCCCCTTCTCAGAACTGTAAGGCTCTGCTCTGCTGCCTTCTGGAGTAGACTGATGCTGTCAGCCAGGTGGCTGTGTTTATAGGAAGAACATTTCCCAAATGCTCAGGACCACTGGTCTTTTTGTTCTTGTTGCTTTGTTTGTACTGGTTATTAAACCCAGGGGTGTGCTGCTACTAAGCTGCATCCTCAGCCCTTTTTATTTTGGATATTTTGGAAGAGGTCTTCCTAAGTGTCCAAGCTGGCTTCAAACTTAAATCCTCCTGCCTTAGCCTAGCTGAGATTACAGGTGTGTGCCACAAGCCCAGAACTGTTGGTCATTGTGCAGCCAGTTCTTCCAGGAGTAAGACCTACCTTCAATGTGCTCCTGCTCTGCATCCCTCACAACTGCTGGGTGCTACAGTCGCCCTGCTGGCCCTTCTGCTTCCATTCTTCTCCCCAACAGCCTGGCCCGCTTATTCCTGCTAAGGGGGCCTCACGCGCTAATGGCTTCACTGTTTATTCTTCCGAGCTCTGCCAGCTCACTGCTTTGGAACTCTCTCTTCCCTATTCATACAGTTTGAATTTTGTACTTACATACAGAGAAGGTTCCATTCTGCTTCCTGGGCTGCAACTTTGTTTATTCTTTTTCGGCTGTGCTCTTTCCCTTTACTCTTCCCCTCCTACCAGCCTCCACATGAGGGTGCCTGAGGCCTCTGGATCATCACTTTTTTTTTCATTCTTTATCTTGTGGTGCTAGGGATGGAACCTAGGCTTTGCGCATGCTAGGCAGGTACTCTCTCACTGAGCTGCACCAAACCCCTATACCTTTAAATAAGGAAAGGGAAGCGCCCTCAAATTGGCTATCATTCCAGATTGCTCCTCCACCAAAATTTCTTCCTGGTCTCTCTGGAGGCAAGTTTCTGGTCTTAGCAGGTTCTCTAGTTGTGGAGACAGGAGCCACAGCAGCTCTCTGGGCCCCCCACCATTCAGGGCCCTCAGGAGGCTAAGGCCTCTCCATGCTTTGAGTGGCTGCTCTGGCAGGCAGGCTATACAAGACCCCAAACCTCCCCAGCTGCACTGACCCCCAAGAAGCTTCTTTCCTAGTGGCTCAGGTAAAGCCTAAGAAGGCTTCCAGGGCCCTGCACTGGCCTGTGTCCCCATCTTGCCTCCTTGGGTATGCCATCCATTCTCTGTACGGGGGTGGGGGGGACCACACCCAGGGGCCCAAGCTCCTCAGACAGGGACTATCAGTCTACTTCAGTGGTTCAATGGAGTCAAGGGTCAGGAGAAGAGGCCTCTTCTTGGCCCATACACCAGGGGAGCCAAATCTAAGAAACTGCTAAGATGGGTACCTAGTGGCAGTTGGAGACTCCCCCTTTCTCTCCTTCCCCATTTCACTCTAGTTTGTTTGCTTCTTTCTGTTTAGGTAACAGGAATTAAATCCAGAGGAGCTTAAATAATGAGCCACAACCCCAGCCCTTTTTATTTTATTATTTGGGTCTAAGTTACTGAGGCTGGCTTTGAATTTGTGATCCTCCTGCCTCAGCCTCCAGAGCCTCTGTGATCACAGGTGTGAGCCAACACATCTGTCCCATCCCACCCTATTAGGAGTCTGGATCTTGCTGAAAACAGGTGGAGCACCTACTTGGGCCTGCCTCACTCACAGATGCTCAGCCTAGGCCACACATAGCTGCCCCTAAACCACAGGCTTGTCTGCTAGCAGGGCTCACCAGCACCATGCCCAGCCTAGGGCACGCACACACAACTGCCCCTGAACCACAGGCCCATCTGGTAGTAGGGCTCACCAGCACCGAGCCCAAGTGCTCACCAGCACTGTGCTTTGCAACCCTTCTTGCTCAATGCAAACCCAGTCCTGCGACCCTCGGCTCACCATGGCTGCTCTTCCCCGTCTGGCTGGCATCCTTGGCTGTAGCTGCTTCAAACCACTGTGGATGATATGTTGTTTCCTGCTCTTCATTTTTTGTTTGTTTCAGTGAGTTTCAAGGAGGAATTAGGATGAACAAGTCTTTGCTCAGCTAGCATTTCCAGAGGCCTAAGTTCCATTCTTAAGATTGTCTACAAGCAGCTTTCCAAGTCCTGCACAATGAGCTGGTTCATGCCCTGAAAGCCTGACTGTGCACAGGGTACAATGGCCCATTCTCTCAGCCCCAAGCCTGTGACTGGCTCAGCGCAGCGTAGGCTCAGAGAGCAGCTGGGCCCTCCTGATGTCCACTGCCTTGGGAGCCTGCTTTCCCCAGCCTCTCCCCTGGAGGGCCACACTGAGTCTAACTCTGGGATCCAGCAGGTTGGCAAGTTGTGAGATCAATACCGTAAGTAAGGACCTGCTTTGGAAATGCTTCTGGGAAGGAGAAAGGAAGATGTCCCACCAAACCCCACAGAGAAAAGAGTGTGGTTGGGAGCCACCTCGTGGCAGAATGTGAGAATTGTCACTGCCTAAACACCAGCTGAGCCTCTGGACTCAGCCTTCACCTGACAATTCCTGAAGATGGGCATCAGGACACAGACCCGCCTCACAGCCCAAACCCTCCTCCTCTTAGGTGCCAATCCAAGTGTGGCCTGGGATCAGGGGAAGACCAAGGTCCTATGAAGGAGGGGAGCACCACACAGCACCATGTGGAACAGGGCATTGCTCCTGCTAAGTCTCTTCACAATCGACCATTTAAAAACCCTCCAAAGAACAAGGTCTCTGTTCACTGCTGCGACTCCAGGGCCAGGCGGCTGCTTAGTGAGTCCACACGGTTTTAGAATGAAGTGACTGCTTGATGTCTTCACAGAAGCACTTCCACATCATGATCCTGGTCTTCCTTCTCACCTGTCACTTGCTCCTGAGGATCAGGACATGCCTGCCCAGTGTCACTGAGTGCCAGGATGGACACCTGAGGACAGCAGGCCCCTCAGAGATCCAGGAGCCTGACTGCCTCACTTCACTCCTGATGGGCCATGTCAGAGCCCTGGGAAAGAAGGTTATCATCTTAAAAGTATGAATGAACTCAAAAGACAAAAAGGGGCAAGAACAGGAGCAAGATTGTGTTTTATAATCTAACATAAGCTCCCATTTTATATTTTTTTTTTTTAAAGAGAGAGTGAGAGAGAGAGGGGGACAGAGAGAGAGAATTTTAACATTTATTTATTTTTTCTTAGTTCTCGGCGGACACAACATCTTTGTTGGTATGTGGTGCTGAGGATCGAACCCGGGCCGCAGGCACGCCAGGCGAGTGCGCTACCACTTGAGCCACATCCCCAGCCCCCCATTTTATATTTTATTTGTGGTATGGGAATTGAACCCAGGGGTGCTCTACTATTGAACCACACCCTAGCCCTGCTGCTGCTGCTTTTTTTCTTTTTTTTGGTACGGGAGATTGAACCCAGGGGTGCCAAGTCACAGCCCCAGCCCCCTTCAAAATTTTTTCTTATATTAAGACAGGGTCTCACCAAGTTGCTTAGGGCCTCACTATATTGCTGTATATTGCTGATCCTGGCTTCAAACTTGTAATCCTCGTGCCTCAGCCTTCAGAGCTGCTGGGATTACAGTTGTGTACCACTGTGCCTGGCCCAAGCCCTGCTTCTTAACGGCAGAATCTGAAGCACTTCTCTCACATACAAATCTCACTGAGCAGTTCATTCCTGTCTGTAGTCATATGTTCTGCTTTTATCTTGTGTGTTGATTGTAAGACTATTATCAATAGAATGGAATGTTTTAATTTTTATTAGTGGTTACATTTCTCCTGATCCTGCCCTCGGCGCCCGGTCACCTGCCCTCTAGGGAGCTTCTCACCCACCTGTCTGGGCACTGATGCTCAGTGTCCAGCCTCCCCCGACCCTCCCTCACTCCCTGTTTTCATGGAAACTGTGCTGAGAGAGGGAAAAGGTCACACTGTACCCTATGGGAAGTACCTCCAACTGTCCTGCTGAATCTCCACCAAAACGCCTCACCCTGTCCCAGCCTCTGAAGGGATGTCACCCTAAGTGTAACCACAGATGCGCTTCAGCACAGCTGTCTTTAGCACAAGCTAAGGCCTCCCTGGGTCTGGCTGCTCGGTAGGTCAGCCTGAGCAAGGCCAGGCAGCTTCTCCTGCTGTTGGCAATACCTGAAGACTGGCCCTACTGCCTCAGCAGAAACAAGAGCTGCTGTGAAGTGGTCAGTCCTCAGGGTGTGCAGTGGTCCCATAGCACAGGAGCTGTTTTACTGTAGGAGAAGATGGGCCCTTGCTCAGAGGAGCCAGGGCTTGACACTCTGGTGCCTGGGATTTCCCAGATCCCAATGCCCAACGTACTGTGTCCTGCCCTGGATGTCTGTACGTTCTGGGGAGGCCCTAAGCTTGCTAGCACTGGGCCTCCCAAGAATGTGTAGATGCCTGCTAAGGCAGGCAGAGACCCTGCTGCCCAGCTCCTTGATGGGTGCCTGGCACACAGCAGGGGTAATTCACAGGTCCCAAAGACCCACATCAGTGTGACAGTGGCTGCCCTTCGATGGCACCTGCCATGTTGTTGTATACAACTGTACAGGGCACAGTCCTAGAGCAGGCCCTTCAGTCCTCATTCAAAAGGTGAGCAAAAAGAGCAGCTAGAGTCACTAGCCTGAGCAATGTCAAAATCACCGGCAGAAGCTAGGCTGGGGATGTAGCTCAGTGCTAGAATATTTGCCCAATATGCACGAGGCCCTACATCCAATTCCCAGCACTGTAAAAGAAAGAAGACAGCTGGAAGCTGGGGCCAGGCCTGTCCCAGGAAGGTGCAGAGCAGGCCTGGCCACTGACCACAGTGCCAGCATGGTCGTAGACACACAGGAGCAGGAAAGAAGCCACTCACACAGCAGCACCAGGCTCTCCTGCCATACCCCATAGCTGCTCCCCACCCCACTCACTCCTCAGTGCAGCTAAGCTCTGGTCATGAGTAGGCGAGAAGGTTCTTGGTTCCAACCTCCTACACAGAGTTCTGGAACAGAGGACACTCTGTGCCAGCCCCCGATGGGGTATGTTTGGAGAATGAGCCTCCGGAAACAGAAATCTGCTTCTGGGGCTGGCAGCACCTCAAGCAGACCAGGTCCCTCGCCCATCTCTCCCGACACGGGTCTAAGGCTGGCAGGCCATGTGTGAGCACATGTGCATGTGTGTACACATGTGTGCAAGCACAAGACTGTGGCACATGTGTAACACGAGACTGTGGCACGTGTATGAAGGAGCCTACCATCAAATGTGCTGTGTGCCTCTTAACCCTGACTCTGGTCCAGGCTGCTCCTGGCTGCCCTGGCACCTCCCAAACACTAATTCCTGCAATGTGGACACTAGGTACTGGTTTGATGGTGACTGTTAGGACAGGAAAGCAGCCTGCCACTGACCAGCAGGAATCCCTGTAGTTTCATTCACTGGGGTGGCCCCTGTGCCCCAGGCTGGGCTGGGAAGTCAAAGGCCAAGACCAACTTTGTGGCCCTTCCCACTCTCCAGGGGAAAACCTGGGAAGCTAAATAGCATCTGAAAATACAGGGACAAGAGAGATCTGTGGAAGTTGGGGTCACTACCTGGCACCTTCAAGGACTCCTCTGTAGAGGTACATTCATGGGAGGAGCTGCCTGCCCAGAGCTCTGTGGGTTTGTCCTCCTTCCACACTGCCCTGGCTACTATCACAATGTGGCCCTGGGCCGCCTGCCCTGTGGTACTACTGGAAGTCTTCCTGCGTTGAGGTAGCATTCCAGATCGCATCTGCACATCTTCTCTGAACTGTCCATTGTCCAAGGAGGGCCACATCCAGAGGTCTTCCTAGTGAGCCTCTCCACACATGTCAACAGAAATCTACAGTTGTCTCTATGGCCCCAGGACTTGCAGTCAACAGATTCTCAGACCAAAGTTCTCCAACTCCCAGAAACAGGAAGAATCGTACAGTCCTCCCCAGGGAGGACACCTGGGGAAAAGCACCGGGGAAAGAGACAGGAGTCAGGATTCCAAGGTCAGCCAAAACAGGGAGAAAAGCCCTCTCTGGGCATGAGCCATGGCACGCTTCCTACTGCAGGCCCTGCTGCTAGAGGTTCTTGAGCACACTGACCAAAAGGAACTGAGCGCTCATTTCTAGTTTTCATAAGAGATAAAACCACCACTGTTTTAGGCAAAAACATGGCAGGGCCAGTTCAGTGGGTGGCCCAGTGTTTCTCAGAAGTCCTGAGCAAGGCCCACTTGGTCAGGAAGACTGAAAGGTAATAATGTATGATACCATGTTAAGGGCCAGCATGAAAAAACACTTATCCTACAGAACTCAGGGGAATCCTGCTGCCCCCGAGGGAACCGCTTCAAGTTACTTGATGGCAGTTTCAGAAAACTGCTGGTGAACTTGAGAAGCGTGTTCTTTCAGAAGATGCACCTGTCAGAGTCTCTTCCCTAAAGTCTTCAGGCTAGTCTTTCAGCAAGAGGCAGAGGCTGGGGAGACTTCCAGAGCTGCCAGTCTTCTGCAACTACTGACTGGGAGGAATGAGAAAGGCCTCTCTGTGCCCAGGGATGTCTCCTCCAGGAAAGAAGTCAGCCCTGGCCGGGAGCCATGTTCAATGTCAGACTGGAAGTCAACATTTTTGAAGAAAACTTTGCCTTATATCAGAATGATGAACTGCATGGTTTCAACCCACCCTCTGATGACAAATAGACGAGAACTGCTGCTGAGGCAAGACAGAGGGCCTGAAGACAGATGCAGGAGAAAGGAGAGGGAAGGAGACTTGTGAGGCCCTAAAAGCCCATGATTGACTGACTTCATAGACTGGTATTTTCCTCTGGGCCTTGTCACTCCCATATTCTTGAAAAATCTACAAACCTTATAAAGCTTATAAAAGCTGCCTATTATATACTTATAAAAGCTGCCTATTTTGATTAAAGTTTAAGTACGCTGTTGGTCTACAAAATTATATGTTCAAAGGGATATGCATTTTAAGAAAACTATAATGTGGGCACATTCCACCATCTAGATGGGGGGACTATGTCATACTCAAGACCCTGAGAGCATGTGACACTGTAGCATTTGGGATCCAGAAGCAGGAATGCCATGCCATTCCTCAAAGCTCCCTGTAAAAGAGGAGCCCAAGACCCTGAAAGC